GTGGATGCCACTCCTCCTTCCACGCTTGTTTAATTGGGGAGCTCCACCCCACTCTCAGTCCGCATTGGGTAGCCAACCATTAACGCATTTGACACATCCGTGTCACAGTGTTCAGCCTCACAGCAACCACAAGTGACCTCGGGACCTTGTACACCAGGGCTATACGACCTAGAAGAATGTCTGAACAAAAACAATGAAAGACTGGCCTGAGGGCCACAAACTAAAAGTCACCCACCTTTGTCTTGGTCACATCATTTTCTCTTCACTGGGCCAGCTGATCTCTCTCTCTTTTTCTCTCTGTTGATGTTATTGTTGTTAAGTGCCGTTGAGTCGCAGGTGACTCATAGCAACCCTATGAAGGAGAGTCCTTGACACTTGGGTGCCTTTCATCCTCTCTCCAAGTTCATAGGGTTTCCAGAGGCAAGCTATTATGGAAGTGGATGCCACTCCTCCTTCCAAATTTGATGGTACACACATAAAATAAATAAATGAATGAATGAATGAATGCATGCAATGTCAGTAACAGCATGGTGCACAGGAAAACAATGAGCTGCGCTGAAATGGCCTTGCTTTCCCCTGTGTAGCTGCATGAGTGTCCATTTACTGCTGTAACAAAAAAAACCAAAAGCTTAATGCCTAACACCAACACAGACTTATTATCTTCAAATTCTATAAAAGGTCTGATAAGGGTCTCACTGGCCGAAAGCAAGGAATTGGCCACAGAACAGTGATCCTTTCTGAAAACTAGGAGGGAACTTTTTTTCCGTTACATCTTCTGGAGGTCACCTTGGTCTTTGACTCAGGGCCCCTTCGTCCACCTCTGAAACCAGAAGTACACCATCTCCCTGGCCCTTCTTCTGTAGATATATCTCGCTCTGCCCCCCTCTTCCACTGTCAAGAATTTTAGGAGTGACGCTGAGGTCACCGGGACAGTCCAGGATCATCTCCCCGACCTCAAGATCTTCAGCTTAATCATATCGCAAAATTACCTTTTCCATGAAAGGGCACACATTCACAAGTTCCAAACACTAGGATGATTAAGGTACACCTGACCCAGGCCGTGGCATTTTCAGTCATTTTTATATGCATGCAAAAGCTGGCAATGAAAAAGCAAGGCTGACAAAGAATTGACTCACTTGAATTATGGTGTTGGCAATGAATATTGAATATACTGTTGACTGCCAGAAGAACCAACAAATCTGCCTTGAAGGAAATGCAGCCAGAATGCTTTTTAAAAGCAAGGATGGTGAGACTTCTTCTCACATATTCAGGGGCATGTTATCAGGAGGGACTAGTACCCAGAAAAGGACACCGTGCTTGCTGAAGTAGAGAGTGAGAGAAAAAAAAGAGGAAGACCCTCAACGAGATGGACCAGTGAACTAAAAAAGTGCAGCGGCATTTGTGAGGATGGCACAGGACCAGGTGCTGGTCAGTAACAGCGTGTGTGGACTGCACTGGTTAATTAGCCCACCAGAGTGTGAGAGGCAGTTGGGGCTCCACTCCTGTCAGCTCTGCCCCTAACAATCCTCTGGGCGGAGTGCTGGCCAGGACAGGGGACTCCTTGGGCCTTGGTGTTTCAGGTTAGAAGGTTTACTCTTCCCCCGCTGTGGACAGAGGGACCTCTGAGGGGTGTCTTGAGGTTGGGAAGATTAGTAATGGGGAAAGAGGCAGCCAGGCTTCTGGCTTGTCCTAACCACTGGTCTACTGTTGGCACTCACACTTGAGTCAGGAGGCTGCCTTTTGCCTGGGGCTGTCTGGATCCTGGAGAGCACAGCCCAGCAGACCCACCTCTGAAGCAGGCTCATCTGTGGGGTCACAAGCCTGTGACCCAGTGTTAGACTTCCCCTGGAAGTTCAACAGTGGAGTCTTGTACCAGATTCAACCATGAAAATCTGAGGCCCAGGGAGAAAGGATGGGGGTGTTTTTAAGGGTTTGTCACCCCAGTTCCTTCATGAGCTGCAAAGATTGAAGCTCCCTAACCAGGCCTGCAGCCCTTTTTTTAATTTTTTTTAGTTCCTTCAGCAGCTTTGTGCCTGGTATAAATGTGTCTGCTGTGGAAAAGGAAAATGTAGGGAGTGATTTGTTTTAAATGTCACATCTTATTACCTGACTGGTGTGAGGCATTTACCCTGCTGACGGCCCAGCCCGTACCTCCTTGAGACACTGACAGAGCCCTCCACAGCTCACTCTCCCCTTGGGTTGAAGATAGCTTTTCCCTGGGGGGACTCTTAGTCAAGGGACCATCAAACCCCACCAATAACCTACTGTCCTGGGCTTGTGACTATACGGCATGATTAATGTGGGCAAGTAACATTGACATGGCCATAGAACAAGAGTGGAACCACATAGTGGGCGATGTCTGTTTGAAAGTAGATCCATATACCTCAGAGACCCTCAACTGACCCTTCCTACCTAGGAAGCAGCCCAGTGGCCTGCCTTTCCCAGCGTGTGACATTCGGTGACTCTTGTCTTGATGCGTGGACATGACTCTCATGCTCCTTGCAGCTCACATAGCACCGTTGGCTGCTGACTGCACAACATTTTCCTTCCCGCCTAGAAATGACTGAATGTGGCATGAAGCCCTCCCAGTAAGTATGGGGTTGAAGGTGGCATGGAACCTTCCGGAACTTTATAACTCACATAACCTCTCCCGTCTCTGGCCTGCTCGCCACTCACCTCTACTCTTAACAACGGTAGTGTTACCCTCCACTTGCCCCTCTCCCTGGATCTCTGAACATGTGTGGATGGAGCTGGGCACTGGGATCCCAGTTGAAAGGTTCATCCTGAGCATTGGCTTTGGGAGTGAGTTTCTTGAGCTCTGTGTTGTCACTGGGGGCAGCAGGTAGTACACCCCTTCACCTGGAAACCCCCGTGCGTGGACGCTGCCTTGCAATCAGCAACCCCATCATCTGTAATCATGACTGTGCTGAGTACCCCCCACCAGGCACCCAGCTCAGCCCTTTGCTTATTTTACTGAATCCCTGTAGTTACTCTGAGAGATATGTTTAGATTACACATGGAAAACTGAGCTCAATGAGATTAAGGGATCATGTCAGAGAAGGAGGTCCATGGCCAGGTGGTGGGAGAAATCCCGTGACTGGGTGAGAGGGTGGAAGTCGAAGAGAAACTCAAGGTCAGGGTGGACATTCATGGCCCAGGATGAGTGCACAGGGTATTTGTGTGAGGGAGTCCATTAAGCATGTCATCACGATCAGAAGGAAGTGGTGAGCATCTTGGGACCATGTGATCACATCGGTCAAGGAAGTTAACCAAGGGAAGGGTTGTGGGTATCTTGAGAAGACATCAAATTGAGAAGGCATCACAGGAGTGCTGATCGACGTGCAGTGCTACCATGGAGAGGAGTGCAAGGGAATGAAATCCTGACAGGACCATCCTGCCTGATCCCACCTGGCAGGAAAGTGGAGAAGAGGCCACCATTGTGGTGCCCAGAGAAGCTTCTGGTGAACACTGCCAAAATGGGCCACTCTGGTCCCTGGGTCTTCAAAGGGAGGAATCAGACAGGGCTAGAGGTGGACAAATGGCCCCCAGCAACATGACAGCGTGGCTGGCAGCTGGCAGGCTAACATCACAGATGTTGAAGCCATGGAGGCTGTGAGGCAAGCAAAGGAAGGCAGCTTCTTCTTCTTTTTTTTTTTTTGTATTAACAATAAGATTTATTGAGCTGTATCTTAGTACAGATGCCATATAGGCTTTCCCATGGTGCTCTTGATGTACAAATCCCAAACCTTCTGCCAATTCTTCTTTAGCAGTGAAATGAGAAAGTTGACAGCCAGGTGGATGTTGTATACAAGTTCATCATCTGTCACCTTCAAATGGCTGATGACCACTGCTAGGACCTTTTCATCTGGAATTTGATGGTGGACTTTACCTCGTCTGCTTTTGCCACCATGTTCTCATTGTGGGTCAGCAGAGAAGGGAACTTGCCAGCCTTATTCAGCCCTGGACCTAGGATTCTTGGGATCTGCTGGGTCAGGGATTCAGAGGCCAAAAAGGCATCCTGCTTCTTGGCCAGCTTTTTGACCAGCTTCTTATTCTTGTTGCATTTTCTCAGTGCCTCGATGCCCATCATCGCAGTGCTGCTGATCCCCAAGAACACGCACTGAAAACTTGGGGCGTGGGGTGGACTTAAGCCTGATGGTCCCCGAGAAGCGTTTGTCCTTCTGAGGGTCATAGTTCTTCAGACTGATCTGCAGCTCCCCCGTCTCCATAAACTTTCTGCGTTTACGCTGGTTCCTGTTCAGGACTTCCCGCACTGCCTCGTAGAGGGTGTCCCGAGGGACTTTGCTGCTCATGGTTCTTTACCTGCTGTAACCCGGAAGGCAGCTTCTTAAGTGATGCTCAGGACATGACGGCTGCCCTCAGCCCTGGGTGGGTGGTGCAGCTGATACCCTCAGAGGACACAGTAAAGCTCAAAGGCTGCAGATTCAACCTAAACCTTGACAAGACCAGAGCCCTCTCACGTCTTATTAGGTGCCACCAAGTTGATTCCAACTCAGAGCGACCCTCTGAGGGGGAGTCACTACAGGACGAAACACGGCCTCGTCCCGCGCCAACCTCACACCCACTGCTATGATTGAGCTTACACCCACAGCTGCTAACGAGTAAGTTAGAAGCTTGCCCATTGGAGTACTGGTAGTTCAGGAAGTGGTCATGCAGATGGCACTACTCCTGAGGGGGCCAGGAAGACTCCTACTGGGGAAGAAGGTTAGATCCAGTGGCCACCAAGGTACCTCCCAACACTGGGTAGACGATAAAAGCCAACACTTGCCTACTAGAAAAGTCCACGACTACTAATGAAAGCATCCTAACGTTGTGCCATTTTAATTTCACAGTAGTTGTTAAAACCTGCTGCCTAACCAAGCCTCTTTTCGTTGTACTTAACAACACTGACTTCCCCACCAAGCTTCCACCCTGCCTGCCCCCTCAGGGCATCCTGTGGTTGGGCTTGGGGACCTTGGTGACCTTTGCTGTCTCTGCAGGGTGTGTCATCACCATTTCGGGCCGCATGACCTTCACGAGCAACAAGTCCATGGAGATTGAGGTCCTGGTGGACGCTGACCCCGTGGTGGACAACTCACAGCAGCGGTACCGGGCTGCCAGTGCCTTCTTCACCTACGTGTCCCTGAGCCAGGAGGGCAAGTCGCTGCCTGTGCCCCAGCTGGTGGTGAGTGTCCGCTCTGGTTGGGAGCGTGCAGTGGGGAGGTGACCTGGGTTGTCATCCTGCAGAGAGACATCGTGTTCACCATTCTGAGCTGCTTTGCGTCGAGATCAGAGCTGGGCCCCAGCCTGGCCTTGAGCTTCCTTGGCTGACGGGCCTCTGGCTGCAGTACGAGTCAGAAGAGGCCACAGGAAAGGACGCCTTGTAAGCCTCAAAGAGGCCTTGTCTGCTCCCCTTCCTATGGGTCTGGAGATCGGGGGCTGTTGGATCAAGCCAACAGGATAAGAGAGACACTTCTTGGGGGAGGACCTGTACCGTGTTGTGAGGGCTAAACAGAGGTGAGGGCCGCAGCCCCAGCAGAGTGGCCTCTCTTGTCCTTGGTCTCTCTCCATGGGGTTTGACCATGGGATCTGAGAGTCCTGGGCTCCCTGCATCAGGCAGCTGAGATTGGCTCTAGCTGGGTGCAGTGAGCGTGGTGGGCAAGTGAGTGGAACAGGTGTGCCCACCACACGTCCTCACACAGGTACCTCGAGTCCACATTCTCTGAGCTTCTCCCAGCTCGGGGGGGGTGGTGTGTGTGTGTCTCAGGTCCAGAGGGTTCACAGACACCCCCTCTGTACAGCAGCTCCAACGCCTCTATGGCAGAAATGGGGTGCAAGGCCCTGTGTCTTCTAGTTCTGGCCAGCACCCAGGGACTCTACAACCTGAGGTATAAAATTAGCCGTCTCAGAGGCTGCTATTCTTGGCTTTGGCGAGCATCTCTCTGCCGCTTTCTTGAACCAGCCTAGGTGTGGAGCACTCGGGGAGGCTTGGGAGGGTGGCCTTTCTAGCATTTTCTTAATTTAATAAATAAGAAGTTGGTATCAACAAGCATTTAATGATTTCCCTGTTTCCCTGCTAATGGCGCCGCCGTCCCCCATTTAGAAAGGCCATGGTCCCAGGACATTTGCCCCACAGCCAGCCCCACTCCCTTCCACCCTGCCCTGCCCAGTCCTGATGGTTCTTCCTTCAGATGCGTCTTCCTAGTCCTACTCTGACCTTCCTTCTCAAGCCTTTGACCTACATTCCTGATCACAACTGGTTGGCTGCCATAGCCTCTTCCCTGGGCCCCAGTGCACCCCACAGGACCCTTAGCTACTCAGGTTCTCTGGGGCTTCGGCCACAGCCTGCTGTCTAGAAGACTCTGATGGCCTTTAAAAAAAAAATAGATTGATTAGCTTATAATCCTTCATGTACATTGTGTTTCGTACATGTACTTTGTGGTTTTGGGTTTTTTTTTCCTTGTTGTGTGCCATCGAGTCAGATCAGTCTGGCACAGGAGGAAACTGCCCCTCTTTCTCCAGCAGAGCATTTGATGGTTTCGAACCACGCTCCTTTAGGATTGCAGCGCAGCTTCTTGCCACTAGACCACCAGAGCTCCCTTTATGTATAAACAATCATTCATATACATTGTGTTTCATTCACGTACCTTGGGTTTTATATAATCATTCATATACATGATCTTAAAATTACCTTTGATCTATGACTATTATCACCCCATCTTTTTTTTTTAGTTGAGATTGTAATGAAAGTTTATCAAGAACTTGGGTTTCGAATCATTCATGGTTGCACATTTTCCTCCCTGTCCCCCCTGACCCCCAGATCGCTTTTTACTCTGGGGAAAAAGTTCTTTCATTGTTATACAGTCCGTCGTCCCCCCTCCCCCCAGACCACTTTACTATGCAGTTCTTATTCTAGACTCGTGCCAATAATACCTAATTATATATTCCTTTTATATAGTTCTCTCCCTCATTTGTTTCAATGCTTTATATATTATTTATCCTCTCTTTTCTTAGTTCCCCTCCCCCCAGCTCCCATGTCAGTCCTGTTTTATAGCAGTGGCATTATGCCATATTTGTCTTTTTGTGACTGAGATATTTCACTCAGCATAATGTCCCCCAGGGTCACCCATTTTGTATAATATTTCATTAATTCCTTGTTTTTCAGTGCTGCATAGTATTCCATTGTGTGAATGTACCACAGCTTCTCTATCCATTTGTTTGTTGATGAGCACTTGAGGTTGTTTCCAACTCTTTGCTATTGTGAACAAAGCCACACTGGATTGGAAATGTTCCAGTGGCCTTTAGAGGCATTAGAGGCACCCTTACCATCCACTCAGGACACACGTCACCTCCTCGAAGAGCCTTTCGTAGTCACCACACAGCGTGCCTCACTTTTGCTCTTCACTCCGACTTTTGTTACCTGGTGGGGCAGGATTGTGTCAGCCGTTAAAGGACACCAGGCCTTGAGGCAGCCCTGGCCCCATAGAGGTATTCACTGTGGAACGCATGGGTCCTGACTGTGTGAATGAATGCCTGCCCTTTTGGAGCATGAAGGCCAATGGACAGATAGATGGAGAGTAGGGGTGAATGGTGTGAGAGACCTTCACCTGGGATTGGGCAGATGATCCCAGGCTCCAGGACTGAGGGCCAGGCACAGGTTGTGGTCTGGAGAAGGACTGAGGAATCAGGGCATGGGGCCAGGGAGGCCAGGAGGGTCTGACTCACAGGCAGGACTATGAAACAGGGCAGATATTTCCTAAGGCCATTAATGGCTTTTACAATGACCTTCCCAAAGTCCATAACATTTGCAATCCCATAATGACCCCAGGAGCCCAGTGCTTGGCTGCTTGTCATTCAACCTCACATCAGCAAGGAGACTGCTGGTCATTCTGGGAATGAATGAAGACAGTGAAGCCCTTACTGCCCACACCCAACCTCTACCAGGAAGGCTGCACAGCTCGTCCCGGCAAGTGGGACCTTTTGGACACACGGCCAATGCCAAGGTCCCGGGGCTTACTGGTGTGTAAGAGGACCCTACCCCAGCTGGTGAGGCTTGTCCTAGGTTCTTTTTTATCTGAACCACTGTCTTTCTGGATAACAGCCTGGAGGGGCTAGTGAAGAGGTTGAGCCTGGAACTGGAGGAAGAGTGAACGGCCGGGAGGCTGTGGCCAGGCTGTCTCTGCACCCCACAGCTCGTGGTCACGACCCTTTTTGGTCAGACACCCATCCAGGCTGAGCCTCACTCCCAGAAGCACCTTACACAGGTTCACTGCGCCCCCACCACCTCTTCTCCCCAGGCCCTCCACCACTTGCTGCTCAGCGCCCTGGAGAATAGTGTGTACCAATACCTCAGCAGTAAACTGTGTTTAAAACCTCATTTCCTCCCAAGGGCCAGAATGAGGGCCCGCTCACTTCTTCATGTGTCTGAGGGTGACCACCTGACTGGCTGGACCTGGCCACCCACAGCCCTCCTTACCCCTTGTGCTCCTTCTTAGGGAGCAGTTCCTTCCCAAGGGTCCTAGCTACACAGCCCTTGGAAGATCTACCTGCATTCCTCAGCCTCCACTTTCTCCTACCTTGACTTTGGGGACCCTATATCTCTGTTCATTCTTCTGGCTCTTGAACCATTTCCTCTGGAATCTTTCCTGCCTGTCTTCCTTGGCCCTAAATGCGGGCTCCCTCCACTTCCTTCCTGGACCCATGCCTGACACCCTCTTCCCTTAAATGCCTTGATTTTACCTTTCCCCTTCACATCCAGAGTTCAGACTTTCCCAGCTACCCCAGGCTACCCTCCACAGGGTGGCCGCATCTGAAGAGAGACTTGTCTCTGTCACACTGGCCTCTGCCCATTGGGGACAGCTAGGACAGCCTGTCTTCCCTCAGTGTGGCCTTTCCGTCTCCATGACCTCCATGCCCTGGCCACCCATGGTCCCCTAAAGGTGGAGTGCTGGCAGGTGCTGACAGGCCCTTCCCCTGGGGAGTTGGGTCCACACCAGGGCCACCAGAAGCTTACCTTTTCCACAAGGTCTCCCTCCACAAGCTTCTCAAACATAGCTTGTCCCAGAGAAAACTCATTCCCTCTCCTCCCCTATGAAGCACCCCTCCTGCCTTGTGTGTCCTCCAGTCACAGGCAGGGTGGGGAGGAGACCTGCTGCTTCTCCCACCTCCAGCCCCTGCACCCCACTTACCCGATATCCAAACCTTAACACTGCTTATCTCCCCACATGGCTGCACCTCCTCAGCAGCCCCTCTCACTGGATCCTCTCCTAAGTGCTCCCTCCTCCGGCTGCAGCCTGTAGTAACCTGTTCTGCCGCGGCCAAGTAAGCTTGTTAAAAGGAAAATCTGATTCTCTCCCTCTCCCGCCTAGCCCATAAACTGTCCATGGCTCCTCAGTGTCCTTGGCATGGCAGTGGCATCCACCTAAGCCAGCCTTGTGTCATTCCTCACACATTCTTCACACATACCCCCACACGATCCTACACTAGGACCTTTGTTCTACCTGGACACCCCTCCCCGCAGCACCTCCCTCCATTTCTCAGCATTTCCTCCTCCGCAAGCCCTCTAGAGAAAGCGTCACTATCCCCAAAATGCCTTTCCGTCACCGTGACGTTTGCTTCATGGCACTCAGACCATCTGGAAGTGTCTGAAGCAAGCGTCAGCATAGCGTCTGTCCTAGGTCGCCCAGAGTCTCAGGAGTTGTCACGGCACAGGTCACAGGCCTCTGTCCCTCTCCTAGCCTCCTGTCCCCCACACTGCCAAGGGATACTTCTGCTGGACAGAGCAGTGACCACAGATCCTTGGAGACTCCCAGGCCCCCTCGCCCACTGCTGCAGGAGCAGCATGTGCTGCTGGGAGGCCCAATTCAGGCACAGTGTCCTGGGTTGTCATCAGGCTGAAACCTTGCTGTGTGTGCGACCTCAGACATGTGCTTTGTGTGCCTCAGTTTATTCACCTGTGAAACGGTGCTGGTGACGAGGCCAGTGAGTCTGATTTATATAAAGCTCTTTCTGATGCTGTTGTGCGGCACGGAGTTGATCCTGTGGATGACGGATCTGAACGCTGCCCTATCTCTCCTGTGCCATCCTCATCTTCTCTGCTGCACTTGGACCCACGGTGACAGTCTCTGTGTCCATCCATCTCATGTGCTTCCTGATAGAGGAACAAAACCAGCATCCCATTGCTGT